TCCGATAAGAGTTTAGACAACTTCATATGTAGTTTTCTTATGAAGAGAGGATAACTTTAGTCAAACTAGACGATACTATCTAAAATATGCAAGAATAAGACGACATTTTAATAAATATTTCTTGATATTTACAGACTAAAAAAAATAAACACATCTTTGCTTATAATGCTTGTGACCTAAGGCAATGTCGAGGCAATCCGTATAGGATGCACATATGCCAACAAGAGACTGATCAATTGTAGTCCTAAGTAACAATGGGAAGATAAAAGTAAATAACACCAAGTGAATTTATAAACAAATTATGTTTAGAAGTCATATTTTCCTCTCCTCATCTCTACCCAGTAACAGAGACTTCCAGGAAAAAAAGTACAACTTAGTAAATCAAACCCATCCAAATACATAAAATTAGAAATATACTTACAGTAATGAAAATGCATTAAATCTGTTTATTAAATTAAACTAACATAAAAGGTTTTGTGGAGTATGACACTTCTCAGTTCAATTTTATCAGTCTCCCTTATTAAAGAATTTCGAGCCAATACAAATTATTTCGACATTTGGTCATAATGTTCTCCCCTAAACAATTACGGTTTTATAGTGTAAGTTATCTTAAAAACTAGAGGTATTTGACTTCATCTACATTTTATCATTGTATACTGATTGTATTCAACCATCATTTAACAAAATGACTAGATAAGTGAAATTTGAATAAAAGTTTTAGCATAATCGTAGAACTTATCTGATTGAACTAAATATAAAAAAATATTGAAAGTAATCAGAATGTTCTTGTTTTTTTTCATCTAAGGAATAACTTTTCGCAAAATGTTGACAACTATCCGGTATATATTCTACGATGGTGTAGAAAAAATCCATAATATTTTGATGAAATTCTTACAAGCTCTACAAGAATTTAATGTTCATTTTTCAAGAATATATCCAATGATAGGCGGTATGTATGATTTAAACGTACTCATGCTAATTTACTTCCATTTACTTAATATTTGGTATCATATGGATTTTTTCAAGTATGAGACGCCAAAACATGGCAGAGGCTTATGGTACCATATGATATTGTTTAAAAACAAATTGTGCAATGAGTTAGTGAACAATAACAGCATTGGATGCCGGCTCAGTGGTCCAGTGTGTTAAGCGTTCGCATGCGAGACCGAAGGCCGTGGGTTCGAACCCCACGAGCGGGATCGTGGGTGCGCGCTGCTGGAGAGTCCCACAATGGAAGGAAACGGCCATTCGTTGCTCCCAGGTTTTTGATGGTGGCTCAACATCAATCGGTTCCTGATCTCAATCAAAAACTTAACAACCTCCTCAGCACCTAAACTGATAATTTACTTATTTAGTTATTAAATATTATTGACTAATTTACTCTAAAGTAAATCTCATTTTTCTAATTTAATTGTGATAACCTGAGGCTGTAATATTATAGTTTATGACATAGCAAATTGTAGATACCAGGATACAAGCTTATGAGTAGTAATGTCCCGTTATATTCCACCAATATGATGACTGAAAGCATGTTTGATTAAAGTATTGGCATTGGTCTGAAATAATCTGATGGTTTTAAAATCGGATTTCTTTATATCATCTTATTTTATCTGGCACTGAATTTCGACAGTAACCATCAAAACTGGGATGCAGATACATTTGGTCAACAAGCCGCTAATATGATGGAACTCAAATTCACGACCCCAATACTATCCATAACCTTTCATTTAATTACACAGAAGTAAATCTACCAAAGTTGAACAATTAAGTATCTTGACAAGAGACGACAAATTTTATTTAACATGTATTGGAAGTCAACACGATACATTTTAATTTATTAAATTCTCATATGTCTTGTTTGTTTACATGGTTCTTGATAATTTGATGGAAAACCTATATATATATATATATCAACAAAGATGGGCTATCTACCACTTTACACTTACATTTTTATCTTAGCGATTTGCAGGTATTAATATTGTTTAGACAATTTTTAAGTTGTGCTCAAACGAATAAATATTCAGATGGCTTAGATTTATTGTTCTTAAAGGTATCTCACAGTGTTCCAAAATAAGTTTTATATTACCCACTTTGTTATTAATATAGATTTAAATCCTCTGAACAAATCACATTAATTCGAGTGAACTGACTTACAGGCGTTGTGTCTTAAGTGTTTGAGTGACATTGCAAAAGACATTTAACGTGATAATACGACTATATTTTGATAAGTTTCCTGATTGTACTAAAGTAGAAGATTCTAAACAAACTATAATTGTGTATTTCAGTGACCTGAAATGTAGTTAATCTAATTTAAACAAAACTTCTATAAAACTTAACCACTCGATAGCTTGGGTTAAGTTTATTCTGTTAAAAAAGGAGTCTGCATGACAAAGCATCAGAACTATTAAATTTAATTCGTCGACATTTTAACGAGACAAATTCTACTTACAATTCTTAAACTATCTTTCCTTACAAAGTATTTAATTTAGCAAGTAACACCGTCTTAGTGCCACCCCAATGCATAAAATACATCAAAATAGCAGGGCTTGGCAAGGGAAGTGCGATATCACAAAAACGCGGAAATGTTTGGACATTAACAGGCTTTTTCTATCAATTTTGAAAACCGAAAAACTTTTACAAACGTTTTATACAGACCGACTTGGTACTAGTACATTACTTCTCAAGGCTCATTTTCTTTTCAGAAAACGTAATGTTTTCGTTATTTAGTAGCAATGTTATAATGAAGATGAAATTTTGGATTGAGTGAAAATAGAATCTATACTGAAGCTGAACTGATTGTCTTGTTTAAAACAACATCATTAAAACAATCAAAGATCAATAGATATCCCTTTTCATGTTACCACAAATTGTATATATAAAGTCACATGTATCCGCCAAAAAGCAGTTACATTTGTGAAACAGAAAGGATAGTCTTCGTCTGATTCGATGAACATATTGCGAAAATTCTAGGGTCCGACGGATTGAAAGCATCTAGCAGTGCCATCTCAAGACATCTCCTTGACACACGACACCAAGTCTATACACTGAAGTCTTTCAAAATGGTTAATAAACAATCAAACTCCAACCCTCTGAATTTAGCTGAAGAGTCTATGAGTCGATAAAGAAGCAGTAACAAATCTCTCTTTGCCATGGCAACATTACATCCTTCTTACGTAGCGAGTCATTCATTATCTAAACTCCTTCTGAAGGTTCATTACACCATCGCCACTTTTCCCCAATTCATGACTCACTGATTTTAATTCATATCTTTCATCGTCACCATTAATCTGTTTTCAGCCACTTCATCACTCCATAGCTGCATGAGTTCTAATCAACATTTCAATGTTCTGGAAATTCACCCCCCAAACTTCATTATTTATCCGAAACAAGATTTCTGAGGACCTGGTTAACTCTATTATAATCTTTGCGAGATCATGATAGACATATTTATCTGTAATCACCGTCATATTCATCAGTGTGTCAATATCTGTAATAACTTTGATTTTCAAATATTGTAGGTTTAATGCAGCTGATGAGAACCTAACGAAATAAAATGAATAACATATTATTCTGCACCAATCTTTGTTCTTGCTCCCTTTAATCCTATATTGTTAGGCTTACTTCAGACTTCGCAGCCTGGCCCGCCTTTTATTGTCACTTGATACTTTTCGAAAGTAAGTGTTTTGAGAGCAACAGAGGGTGCTTGAAAGATGTACACAAACCCATACGTTTCCGGAAGCACTACGTAGCTTAAGCCAAAATGCATCTTAACTCAGAAGAGTTCTATACACTAACAGACATCACTTGACTATCATAAAAACTTTCTTTGCTGAAACAAAGAATCACACTGCTAATAAAACCTAAGTTCCTTTAAGTGTCAGTGACGTCTGAATGTACAGCATGGTTGTGTTCATACAAGATGTACAGATGGAGGATAATTAGAAGTATTTGACAGTACATATCCCACTGCAAACAATCCAACCTGAGTGAAGTTAACTGATATCCCACAGCTGAACTTCAGTCTTAGTCAGGGTATATATATTGTATGTGAGATTCGACATCGCCTTACATGTAGCTACTCAGGAGATCACTATAATTTCACATTCAGAACGTAGCCAGTTTTTCATATCAAGATGTAGAGTTCCGGAGTATAAACCGTCAGAATAGAATCGCCTTAACAGAAGGAGTTTGACAATTTTTTTTATTTTATGAGAAGTGGAGTTACTTGTAGCTAAAGGCGTAAAGATACAAACTACGTTCGAGTAGGTTGTGAAGACTAATATACCACCAATAATGTTTCTCCATACCTCTCAAACGCATTTGATATATTTATGCGACTTGACGAGGTCTTAAATAATTTTCTGAAATCAATATGGATTTAGACGGCAGTGGACTCAAACAGAGTATAATAATACCGAGTATATCCAGAGGCTTCACTGCATATTACGCTCTTTTTCCCATACTTATTACCGACCAACAAACGAATTCCCAGTTTTAGAGAGTAAGCTGTATAATTACCACTAAAATTTTAAAAAAGTTCTCTCAATGAAAACTTTAGAAAAATTGGAATATATAGCAAGAATACAATATATATGGAAATACATATACATAAAAGTATTTTTAGTTCTTAATGAGCTCAATACAATCCTTACTAGATTTTTAACCAGTAAATTCTACTTTTCAAAGATATTTTCAAGAGCAGTAATAAATTTAAATACCGTATAAACCCAAATATTCATTACGTTATATAAATGTGCAGTTCCATCATCTATATCCACGCAAAATTGTTGAGCTTTGAAGGAATGCGGTTCATCTCCATAATACCGAAAAAAATATTGACTGTGAACAGTCAGGTATATGTCATCGTAAAATTGTTTTTGAATTTAAACTCTCAAGTAGAACTACACTCAGCATCTTGACAAAAACAACTCAATAATTAAATTCATCGGAGCAGTAAGGTAGACAAAGTGTCACAAATTTTTTTAAAACCATAGGCTCACCTACAGGATCGACGTGGCTGAAATGATCTATGAACGTTCTGCGATCTAAGAACAGTGATAACTATTTAGGTTACAATCTGAATTATAGATTACCTTTCCATCTGGAGTGGATTTTTTCAAAAGGCTAAAAATAATACTTAACTAAGCGAATCAAAGTTACTCGAAGTAGCGTCTATGAGACCCTTCGGACACCATCTTAATCTTAAAACGATAACATCCACATACTTTCATAAATGTGAACACATCTTTAAAGTCCAATATCCAATATCTTCAACAAGAGCCTGTATCAAATAGTTGCATTTTCTTATTGCTGTCTTGGTATGGTTTTAAGTATCTAATAATCTTTAGCAATAATTCTTGGTCTATCATAGTTTATCTGCTCGACCTCACTAACTCTAGTCATATGTGAATTCATATATCATGTAGTTTGTGTAAGTGCGTTTGCCTCAAAGTGTTTGGGTTTCTGGATACCAACAGCTATCGCATTGCCAGGTAGTTGCAATGTGAAATAATAAAGCTACAATTCAAGCTTTAAGAGGAGATAGTTGTTTCAAGAGTAAATACTTAATTTACATAATTGATAACATGTAGGAAGACGGAGTTGAAAGATTAAGAGGGAAACGGAGATGATTCAGAGAAAAACAGGACGCAGTTACTAATTATGCACTAATTATAATGGTGATCATTTTTGACACATGCATCAAACGCAGCCGGTCCAAGAGAGAGGTAGTAATTCGTGAGCGAGTACGTGTTTGTCAGATCTCATGAATAGGTCACACACCGGCCTGCTAAAGGTTTTCGTGCACTGCTTCAGGATTTTATTTTTTTTTTTTCACATTTTTGTGACTTTCCTGGGTGAAGAAACTTATGTCTTTTCAATACGTATCCTGTAGTTGTTTGGATATCTCCCAAACCTCCAACTCGCACTAGAGTTCGATACAGGTTAGTGATCTACTAGCTGTATGAGCCCTGAAAGGCATCATTTAGGTTATATCATTATCTGGAGTTCACACCAATCAGATGTGGATTGTAATGGAAGAAGTTATCTGGACACACTTATTACAGTTGTGATGTGAAGATCTTTGCTTTTGATAAGGTTAACCATACATGTCTTGTCAATAAGCTCATACGATTAGGTATCAGACCACCACTTCATACCTGAAAAATCGACATTTTAAGGTCAGAGTTAATTTCACTTTATCTCAGGCTATGGAATGTCCCAGTGGGGTCCCCCAGGGCTCAGTACTAAGACCTCCTGATTTATACAAATGATCTTCCTCGACAGGTATCGTCAGACTTATTACTTTTTGCCGACGACGTAAAACTTTGGAGAGAGATACGCAACCAAGACGATATACAGGCACTTCAGGAGGATCTGACTCGACTTCAAAGTTGGGCAGACGATAACGGACTTACCTTTAGCACTTCAAAGTGTAAAGTAGTCCATCTGCGATATGTCGCAGTCTGCAGTTATAACATAGGTAACTCCTCTCTAGTAGTCGAAAAAGATTTAGGAGTCTGGGTACCTTACGATTTAAAGTCTTACGCTAACTGTGACAAAAATGCCTTCCGAACCAACCTTGCACTGGTAACATTGAAGCGCATTTTTGGCCAGTTTGTCGGAAGAACTTTCCATTTAATCTTCAATAGTTTAATCCGTCCCCACTTACAGTACGGAAACACAGTATTCCCCCCCTCAGTCCAAAAGGATAAGGATACCCTGGAGCGTATCCAACGGCGAGCCACGAAATCAGTTCAAGGACTCAAATTTAAACCTTACGAAGAGCGCCTCCACTCACCTTACCTTTACCCACTAGAGTATAGACGTCTTAGAGGTGACCTTCTGATGGCTTATAGTATCCTTAACACTTCTGGACACCAGCTCCCAAACACCTACTTAAGCTTAGTTCCAACACTAACCTAAGAGGTAACACCCAAAAACTGGAGACACAACATAGCAGAACGGACTGTAAACACAACTTCTACTCCTTAAGAGTTGTCAAATGCTGGAATTCGCTGCCGGCCGAGCTAGTCCAAGCGACTTCTCAGGAGTTCTTTAAGAGGCAACTTGGTCAATTCTTAAGGACTAAGGATAGTATCGCACTATGACTTATTAATTTCTTTTCCTGTTTTATTGTTACCATACCTAGGTTCCTGCCTGGAGGATTTGGTGATCCCTTGCTACTAGACACGGGAGCCTGTTAGGCGAAAGCTTCTTCTATTCCATCCACAACCATTTGAACCATTTGAATGACGCATGACACTCTTGTTGTATATTGTGACCTTCAGCTTCCTCCTGACCACCACTCATTAGCTCAAAGGCTCCGCAAACCACCATTCTAGTTGATTCTTGTGCGTCCGAATCTCTTATGACCCACGGTTTGTCGTGTCTAACTCAAATTTGGGAGTAACGCTTAATCGATGGTCTCTGGCATAGTCATTAGAATTTCTTCTGTAAAATTCTGCCTCAAACTAAAATTACTTTCAATGCTGCTCTACATATCTCTACATTCATGTCCATATGCAAGTATTACACCTTAGCTGGGGTGCTACATTTTTCGGGCATGATGTTGCATTTGTCCAGGTGTTCGTAAATAAGTGCCGCCCGACGCTTTAGTAAGCTACTTCTCGACACTGCAACATTGAATAAAATCAGGGCTTTACCCGGCTTTTTCATCCCCCAGTTTTAGCGTTTTGGGAGCTGTGTTATTGCTTTCTCCCTCCTCAGAGCTCACCCGATGCTTCTTTCTGTTAACAAATACTAGGGTGCTGGCTCGGGTTGTGGCCAATATTTTTGTGGTTTTGGTCGAGACTGTGTTCCACCACTTGGATATGCTTGTTGGGATGGATATCGATGCTTCCAATGAGGATCTTGTGCCCCTTTTCAGTAGTTCCGTTGATGTATTTTTCTACACTGTGGACAAATGTACCAGAACCACGAACAGAGGTGGTTTAACACAGACTCGTAGCACTGCCTGGATGCAGATGTACCACAGCGTCAGTCTGCCTAGCTCTGACAGAAACTACTTTAATATTCTTGTCATTTGGTCTTAACGTGCGACAATCACGCAACAGACCTATCATTTTCTTGTTATTTCTCCCCATTGGTCAGCTTCACAGCCACCTTAGTATGTTTATTTCCCTCACTACTAATTTGCTTGCTAGTCATACAATGAGAAGAATACTCGGTAGGGGTGTGGCCCTGACTACTTAGCTGGCGACTTAGTACCAGTATTTAATTTTAGTGATGCATACTGTGCACATTACTCTGTGGTTCTTTATTTCGCATCATCCGGAGCTTCCTGAATGCCGGTGACCAAATTCAAGAAATGAAGAGAAATATCGGATTCTAAATCAGCTACTAATGTTCCTCAGGTTATAATCAAGCCAACTCATGATCTTCACCAAGATAATGTATGATGATCAAACTTGCCCAATCTGTTCACAATTTTATATGGTAGATCAAACTTGGTCTGTGTAAAGTTTAGTGAATAAACTGTTATTAGTGTAGAAGTACTTCAAAACGTCGACACCCTTCCAAAGTATTTCGCTCCACCCGGATGTCGACGAGCCAACCTAATGCCTTCTAATACCTAATGCACGAGAGGTATATATAAATCTAGCCTATATACTGGTTTCCTGTTGTATACAAATAGTGCTCACTTCCCGTTTACGAAGAAGTTCATCGTTTAGAGTAACTTGTCAGTAACATTGCGTGGCGCGCTAAGTACTAAAAGACAAGTATCTTGGGAGATCATAATCACCATTATTTGGTCATCTCCAATGTTCTTATAACATTACTCGTTAAACTGATCATTTTATAGTTCAATTTATTGTGAAAGACAATATAACTTTAAGGTAAAAGCTTTCAAAGTTGCTTCTTTACGATTTCATTCATGATTATTAGGTTTTTGATTTTGTTATTTTCTTATGACTCTAGTTCTGAGCTTTTTTGAACTATGAATTATTGCTATAGCATTCTTTATCCACATACTACAACCGAGTACTTGTATACTCAACAATCAGCTTTTCCCACAGTGAATGCTTTTGTTCCATGTTAACCGTTACTGTAACCCACTTGATCTGGTAAGTACTTATAGAAATAAGTGTTTGAAATATGATAATAGTGCCCCGCTGGTTAAAATTTTTCCCGTGTACTTCTTCCTCATTCGGAAATAGTTAGTATCAGGTCTGCCGTCAGGCACAGATTGAAAGTCTTCCTCTACATTACTGCGTATTGGCTGCTTAAAATTGTCAACGCGTATTGGTCGGTTATTAGGACAAAAAATTATGTGTGTTGTCTGGATCCTGAGATGCAAATCTGGGTAATTATCTGACTGAGTGATGTAGTGCACTGGAAAAGTGACATTCTTCGAGTAATTACTAGAGGGTTATTAATCTGCATTAAACGTTGTCTGAACAGACGGATAAGTAATTGGCTGAGTTTTTTGTTTAACCTGTAGCATCAAATACATTCACGAAGTAAAATATCCTTTTAGTTTTCGATTTTGGTGCTTACTTCATCAATTTCACTAGGCACATCCTAGGTGAAGACTTTCGGTCACGCCTTTAACCCAGATTACCGTTTGGTACGCCGTTCTACGCATACTTCACAATAACCAGCCAGCTCAGATCAGACTTTTCCTCGGCACACGATAAACCACCGAATATATCGTTGAACTCCTTCATTCCTAACTTTTGATTTGACTGCGTCAGTACCCTGAGTGCAAAGTTGTGGACACTCATTTGACTGAAAAAATGTGGAAATGTTTGACAGAGGAAATTCCAAAAACACCAGAGAATTTTTAGAAGCTTTGCACTCAGGTCAATAAGCAATCAACAAGCACATTGAAATCGATCCAATTTATCAACCAACCAGGAAAATTATGCACGAACATGTGAACAAAAATAAAAAAAATGAGAGATACAACCAAAACAAAGAAGTAAACAATGACAGGTTTAAGGTCAACAAAAACCAATCAATATCGTGGTCTACAGAACAAGCTGTGAACTAAATGTGGAGAGATTCGAGCGCTTCACCTATATCTGATGATTGTGCTGATGATGTCGTTTAGAAGAACAAAGAAAGTCTCATGACCGAATCATCCAGCTCAGAGAACAAAACTCCATCAAAATAAACCGTGCTATCAGGATCAGTAGAAGCAAAATAAAGAACTCTGTATTGCATGATTTGACAACCATGCGCACTAAACAATGTCGGTAATACAATAACATGGTCTGAA